ACTAAGCTTTGTAGCTAAATTGCATTGGTGTGTAGGGAATTGCCCTATGCAGACTGTGTTGCAGATAAAAAGCTACTCTGAAATTTACAGTTTTGTTGCCACTTGTTTCTTGCCCTCTGCCCTATCTGCATATTTTACATGCTGCCTGCATAATGTTGGAAGAAGTCTTACAAATTTTTATCTTATCTCAACTGGTTCCCTAATTCAACAAGACCATCTCTTTACTCCTTCTTGATTGATTATTCCTAATCTGATCATCTGAAATGTTTTTTTAATGCCTTCTGTTTTCTTCTAAATTATAACATTATCCTCTTCTCATTCTCTACCCCTTACACTCCTCAATACTTTACTGAGAAAATAGTTTATTTGTTGAGAGCTCCCTCTTCCTCACCATGCTCTATCTCAGAAAATACTTTTTCATCATCCCCCACTGTTTTCTTTTCTTAGGTAATATATGAATTACATATATACAACAATCCATAACATAAAATATATTAAAATAAAATATAAATAATATACATATAATAAAAGTGATGTCTTTTCTCTTCACCACAGCCAGCCTCTTGTACCTTTTTCATCCTCTCCAGTCTACTCTAGCAGATTGCTCTCTAAAACCCACCTATCTTTCTAACTTTCTTATGGCTGTGGGGGACAACACTATCCTTCCATTTACTCAAGTTTTCAATTTTAGTACCCTCCTTGATTGTTCAAATGTCTTTGAATCTACATATCAAATTAATTGCCAAGTTTTGTGGATTAAATTCACAATATTCCTCTTATCCATACATGGTTCTCATGCTAGTTTGGGCCTGTATTACCTTTTAACTGGACTATTGAAATAGTCTTCTAGTACTTTGTTTTCTCAAATCTCTCCCCTCTTTAATCCATCCTATACGTAACTGTAAATTTTTTTTAGTAAAGCACAGATTTGACCATGTCCCCTTCTCAACAGACTACTGCTAGTGATTCTGTTTCCTCCCAAATAATATACAAATGTCTTTTTGTCATTTACTTCAAAGTCTTTCACGTTCTGTCTCCATCCTGCCTAATGTTCTATTAAACATAGTTGAACTAATCAATAACTGAATGGATTCCTAAAATTCATTTATTAAGCTTTTATTCTTGTGCTAAGTTTTCGGGATACAAATACGTTAGAAAGGCAATCTTTGCTCTTGAGTTCACATTCTAAAGGGGGAAGACAACACATGGAAGTTTTCAGCTGCAAGTCAGATAGAATAGTCCCATGGTCCTTAGGGTGAAGCATGAAAGTAGATGGTAATGTCTCTTCTTTCATGACATTTCTACCACTAAAATGATGTTAGTTTCTGATGTTAAACTATTTGATCGTGTCAAGGACTTTTTTGGCAAGAACTTTTTTTCCTGGATCTTGAGTAGCTTTAGCACCTGTAGGAGCAGTTGCTGGGCTGTATTTCCACAAGGTGCTAGCTATGGCTACTGTTCTGGAAGCATTGCTATTCTCAAGGCTCTTTGTTCAAGGTCCGGGGATGTATTCATCAAGATCTGAGGGAAATAATCAGTATGGTAGTGGTAGAGTAGTGGTGATAGTTCCACTTGCCTGGAATATGCTGCCTCCTGTCTCTCTTTAACCACCTATTATGTGCTAGACATTGTACTCACAATATGTAATACTGCTTTCTTGCCTTATTATATGTTACTTCGCTTCCCACACTTCATGTTGCAGTCATATTGGCCTTCTCTGCTATACCTCCCATGATATTTCATCAGTTTTCCTTGTAACTTTTCACAGACTGTCCCCCATATCTCAAATACTTGCTTATCACCTCTTCATCTTAGAATCCTTTGTTTCATTTCAAACCTCAGCTCAGGTTACACGTCCTACATGAAGCTTCTTCTAATCTCCCTTTCATGCTTCTAGTGCCTCTCACTACCAATGGCAGTTTGTGTCAGATAGGATTTGAACTCAAGTGTTCTGATTCTAAGGCTTCTCCTTTATCCACTGTGCATTGCTGTTGCTCAAGCAAATATTTCAGACCTTAAAAATAAGTATGGTGATCATTATATTTTCAGAGGCTTAATCTGAGAACATGTCTGTGTTGGACAGACAGTTTTTTCATAATCCAGTTTTTTGAGTTTTCTTTCTAGTTCTTATATTTTGAATATGTTCAGCGTTTTCAGTTTCTAATTTTTTAATGATGGGGTTTTTTTAATGGAAAAGTAATGTACAGCTATTTATGGTAAGTAAAAGATAGCCAATTATAGCATAATAATGCCTTATTTTTCTGGAATTAACTTATAAATTGCTCTAAAGGTAGTTTTTACAGGATTTCCAAAGTTTGGACAATGGTAGAGTCATTGGAATAATAATCTAAAGTTGTAACAACTTTGAAGGCTAGCACTCATTTGTGAGTAATGCTTACTGGCTTTTAAAAAGACTTATGATCACATCATAAAGCTTTTGTTTCTTTTTACCCTCATTTATTTTTAACCTCCTTAAAGTCCTTCTCTTCTTCATTGTGGTGTGGAGGAAGCTGTCATTTTTGGAAAGATGCTAGTGGAACCCAAGCTTGGTATCTCTATACCTAATGAGGCTGCTACTTAGAACTCAGTATATTATGAGGACTGTATTCAATGCCTTTCTAGCATGGTACTGTAGAGATGTATTCCACCAAGTTTTCTCCTATTTATGCATCAAAATTATTTCCTTGAAAAATGTAATAGATTAGTTTATTTGATTTTTGGATTATAAACAGCAAGTGAAGATTAAAATAGAGATATGTTTGCTAAATGTGTTCTGCACTGTTACGCGTTATGCAAGAGATGCAGTATCCAAGCTGTAAAGAAGTATTTCTTGTGGTTGCTGATGTCTTCCAGATGCTCTTGTTTGTGAATGACTAATGTGCCCTTCCCATTACATTACCCAGGACCCTTCTTGAAAATAACTTCTAGTTGGTTCTTATCTTGGCCATTATCCAGTCTTCACTCTATTCTTCAATTGCCTCCCTGATGGAAACTCCCTGTTGGTGGCTGTCTTGCTGCCCAAGGTTAGAATGTTATTGACCTGCATACTTTAAACTTCCTTGGGAAGAATGGTGCATGCCCCATACAGACTGAGTTAACCTAGTTCTGGAAGAGAGTAGTAGTTCTATTAGCCTAGGTGGTACTGTTTCTGATTTGAGAATGTAGTTATCTAGGGCTTATGTGTCAATCCTTAAGGAAATGCCCAGCTTATGAAGCAAACTTTTGAGGTCCACGGCATACCCCCTCAGCATCAAAAATGTAGAAGGTAAGCTGATGAATTGCCTTCTTGGCTCAGAAGTAAATATTCTTAGATCTCTGACTGTAGAGATTTTTTCATTAGGCCCAAGATGGGGGTTGTGTTGTTCTTTCAGTTTATGTGGGCTCCTGGGCAGAGATTAACCTGATGTTGGGAAATTTCAAAGCCTCTTCACCTGTGATAATACTTTTTAAGCTGGGATAAGAGAGGATGCTGTTACTTTTAGAACTGTCAAGAAGTAGCCACTTTGTAGAGGTGTTCTCCACCTTGATTGAGATTAATTTATCTGGATTGAATCTATTGTCTTGCCATCTTCTGCTTTCATAAATCACTATATGATAGGAGAGCGTCATCTCACTCCTCACTTGATGTAAGACCACTCAGGTATTTAGCCTACTAACATCTGAAGCCAACCCATGTACTTGAGTAGTTCAGGCTTTGACTGAACAACATGGAGCATGTATTATTCCCCCCCCCCCTTTTTTTTTTCTTTTTTGAGAGTCTCTGCTGTGGTGTTCTGGTGAACTAGACATTATAACGTGAGCTATTCTGCTAAGGGTTCCCAATGTGTACAACGTGTAAGAAAGCAGAGATGTGATAGGGTGCTTATAATAACAAGGTCCCTTTTGGAAACAACTGGAAACAACCTTAAAATTAGTGGCCTGGCATGTGATTCATCTGCCCGTATTTATTCCTCGTCCTAGAATTCTGTTCATCATATAGCCCCTGGTAAGCTCTGGGGACTTTTAAATTTTATGGACTTTAGCCTACCTCAGTCATCCTTGTAATGGTAAAAATGAGGTGCTAGAAGTAGTTGCAGGGAGAAAATTGACCTAGGAATACAGCCAAGGAAGTATGATGTAAGACGGGAATTATCTTCGTATTCAGAGGACCTAGATTTAAGCCTTCCCTTTGCTTCCACTTACTAGCTTTGTGACCTTGGGCAGATAATATTTATAATTTCTAGTTTTTTCATATTTAAAATGAAGACAGTGACTTATACTGCATCTGTCCCCTGCTTCCGTTGTTTTGAAGAAAATGCTTTGTAAAACAAAATCTAGTAATTAAATGTTAGTATTCAAAGAATGTGCTATGTAAATTCTAAAGGTGCAATAGGTAGACTATTTTTTAAAACCAGTTTCTCTTATAACTTAATTGTTACTGTTATCACTATGTTGTATTTCTCAAAAGCTGTCAACTATGAAGAAATTTTTTACTGAGGCCCTTCTTGGAGATAAGTACAGATGACCAAAACCTAAAAAGGAAAACGGGAAGATATAATTTCCTAAGTGGCATAGCAAATAGTCTTGGACCTAGAGGAAGGAAGACTTGAGTTCAAATTTAACCTTGGTGAACCTGGGGAAGTCACTTAACCACTGTCTGCCTCAGTTTCCTCATCTGTAAAATAAGGATAATAATAGTAGTACATACCTTACAGAATTGTGAGGCTAAATTGAGATAATATTTATAAAGCATTTAGCAGGCCTTAAGATGCTATATAAATATTAGCTATTCTTACTAATTTTCACCTACTATATCATTAAAGGACTTGCTTCTTCAGGACTTTTGCCCAGCCATGATGATTCATAGTTGATAAAACTGAGTTTTCTGTAGTACTGTACTTGTTTGCCTTTTCTGAATTTCTTTAGTTATTTTATGGCTAATTTAGGAGTGTACATTATAGTAGTATTTTACCATCTAAATGAATATTTGAATTTATAAGTGCTGTATTTGATTTTTTTAGTGACTCATGTTCAGAAGAAGAGAAATTTATGAAACCCAAAGTAACAATGATAGCTTGGAACCGAAATGATACCCTTGTTGTCACAGCTGTAAATGACCATGTACTCAAAGTATGGAATTCTCATACTGGACAGCTACTTCATAACTTGGTGGTATGTGAATTTTGAATCTTATTTTAAAATGTCAAAAGTAATCTAATGTGAATCAGCTGTTTAGATTTAATAATGTTTTCGTTTAATAATGTTGAATATATATATGAATTAGAGGAAATGTACTATGCAAACTTGCTATAGACATTTAATAGTTTGAATAGTTAGAATTTTCATTTTAATATGCATGAATATACATGTTATTGTTATAGAAATTGTGTTCTATAACAGAGTTCTACATTTATATTTCCTTAATGCCAACTTTGCAAAAACAACACAGAAATGAACACTTAAAATTTTTGTTAAAAACTGTGTCTTTGGGGGAGCTAGATGGCACAGTGGATAGAGTTCTGGCCTTGGAGTCAGAAGGACCTCAATTCAAATCTGGCCTCAAACACTTGACGCTTACTAGCTGTGCGACCCTGGGCAAGTCACTTAACCCTGATTGCCTCACCAAAAAGCAAAAAAAAAAAAAGCACAAACCAAAACTGTATCTTTAAATTTGAAAAACTCTTTAATATATTGTTTTGAATATTCAATAAAGGGACACACGGATGAAGTATTTGTTTTGGAGACACATCCCTTTGATTCCAGGATTATGCTGTCTGCGGGTCATGATGGAAATATATTTATATGGGATATCACAAAAGGCATTAAGACAAAGCATTACTTCAATATGGTGAGTTTTGTTTTTTTAACCATCTATGGCCAAAAAAAATTGTTTATAGCCACCCCTACCAGAGCTATGTGTGTTAGCATGTTTTGTTTTGTTTTGTTTTTAATAAAATAACTATTGAAATCTAAATACTTTTTCTCCTTCCTGATGTTTATATAGTTATCATTTTGGTGAAAACTTCAAAGTGTGTTTAATCAAGTCATTTTCTTGCCTGACATCTGAATTTCAGTCTAAACTATACAGATAGTTATTTAGGTACCATTCGTTCTTAAATTATGGACAGAGACTACTCAAATAATGGTGCTCATTCTATTCAGTGTCTTAACAGTAAATCTCTTGTTGGAAATTTTTTCTTTTCTGTTATTATTCCTTCTCTTCTATCAAGGAGAAGGACCACTTTCATGTGAGACAGGAATTATTAAGGAGATGGTAGGGGAGATAAGTAGGCTGTTTGTTGTGAGCTGAACAGCAGAGGGAAGGGAGCATTTAATGTGAATGGCTTAGTTTTTTGTTTTTTTCAGGTAAGTGTGAGACAATGTTCTCAAGCTGGAATACTAGGGGTGGGTGGAGGCAAAAAAAAATCATGAGAGCTTTTTTGAGGGAGAAAAATGGTTTGGAAATATTTACATGGTGGTTGAGATAGTGATTCTTTTAAGAACCTCTAAAAGGATTGCCTTGCTAAAGTGAAGGCCCAGTTAGGATTATGTAACAGTATGTAGTAGACCCAGTTGGCATGGTTTCAGGATTTTCCTCCACCTCCTTTCAGCATCGTGTAAATCAGAACTGAGGAAAAATCTAATACATGAGAATTTTGTGAGTAATCCAAGGTTGAGGCTTGGCAAAGTACAGTTAAGTAGGTGAAGCAGTGGAGCCCCCAATATAAAGGCAGGAGCAGGGGAGGAGAAGATCCACGTACTGAATTCATTGAAGAAAGAGAATAGCCTAGAAGTCTTTGGATAACAGCTATCATAATCTTGATAAGTAGGCTAGATTATTGTGGTGGTTGAGGGATAGTCTGGAAGTGTGGATGGGAGAGCAAGGAAAATAGAGAACCCCTCTACCATGACCTCTTAAGTGCACCTCCTCCCCCCAACTCCCATTCCTCTTATTTCCAGTTTGAGTTGTATATCTGCACGAAATTCTGTGCATGCATTTAACTCACTTTTGTCTGTTTCAGATAAGAATGAGTTTTCACTTGAATTTTTATATATTTTTAGGCACCCCATTGTGAAAAGTAGCATGATCCACCTCCTTTTTCCTTGTTTTTATGCTATTCATCCTCTTACACCGTGGTGGTAAGGACAATATCCAAACCCTTCCCCTAAGGCAAATTAGGCTAGTTTTTCCTTAAAAGGTATTAAATCCATCTTGCAAACTTGGTTAGCTCAGGATAGTAAGTGCTCAGGTTAATGGCATCACTAGTCACTAAAAAGAAGCTGGTGGATCAAGCATCCTCAATGCTTGAAAATCCTTCTCTTGTTAGAAAAAATCTTTTTCTGTTAACTGGTGAGTGATTAGAGTATCTTATTTTATTCCAATATTGAACCTAAACTATGTGTGAGACTAACCCGAGTTTGGGCCAACCCAGAACAATTGGAGTAGTCCTGCAGGATTGGAATGTGATACGTTCTTTGAGATGGGTTTTGAGCATGTGCAGAGGTGAGCCTGGATTGACCTTCGTTCTTCTAGGGGTATTTTAAGTTAATGCTTCTGGGAATGGCTATTACTTTCTGTGGGCTGTCCCCCACTAGTGGCAGATTACAGAGTAAAACTGCCTATTCAGCAAGGAAAGACTGTAGGAGATCTTCTGTGACCTTAAGAATTGTACTTTGAAGATAATTGTGATAAACTTGTTTTAGGCCTTTCAGTTATGTTATGTTAGGTCTTTCTGCCTGGCAGTTTGTCTCCTCCAAGTTCTACTAGGGAATTTCCTCACAGCTCATACTTTCATAGCAACGTAGTGATTTAATAACAACATTAACAACAACAACAAGAGCTAGCATTTATGTAAGAGACATTTTAAAGTTTGCAAATAGGCTTTATATATGTTAACTAATTTGTCCCATCTCTGTGTTACTAATGTTCATCATCACTCAGCTGTTTTGGGGAAAGCCTACTATAAGAAGTCTCTGTTTTTAAGAGAGTTCATATTTGTGTAAACTGTTTGATTTTGAATGTTTTGTTTGCTTTGTTTTGTTTTTAAATAAGAGTGCAACTGAACCAGCAGTCCTGAGTCCTGTAACTGTGTGTGGACTTCACTCCTATTTCACATGACGACATGGCTCTTCTTCTGGCCAGGACAAACTCTTCTGCATGCACAAGTGATGTGATTTCATCCTTTCTCTTCCAGCAGATTGCCCCCTCTATCATCCTTGCTCCTTCACATATTTTCAATGTTTTCCTGTTTATTGGCTGCCTCTCTATTGCCTGCAGACGTGTCTCCTTCATCCTCAAAAAATCCTCACTTGGATCCATCCACCCTCACTGGCTCTCACCCCATATCTTTCCTTCCTTTTGTGACTAAACTCCTTGAGAAAGCCATTTACAGTAGATATCTCAAGTATACTCCCCTTTCTCTCCCTATCTTTTTAATTCTCTACAGTCTGGCCTCTGACCTAATCATTCAACAAAAAATGCTCTTTCCAGGGATAACAGTGATCTCTTAATTGCCAAATCCATTGGCCTTTTCTCAGTCTTCATCTTTCTTGAGCTCTCTTCTGCCTTTGATACCATCAGTTAACCTTTTTCCTTGATACTATGTTCTCTTGAGGTCTTTGTGAAACAACTCTCTCACAGTTCTCCTACATATCTGACCACACCATCTCAATCTTCTCTGGTAGATTTTCATCTAGGTCATGTTTACCTAACCATAGATGTCCCACAAGGCTCTGTCCTGGGCACTCTTCTCTTCCTCTGTACTATTTCATTTGGTGATCTCATCAGCTTCCATGGATTTAGTTAATCATCTGTATACTGATGATTCTATATTCATGAATGTCAGGTCGATTTTTCCAGCACTAATCTCTCTGCTGTCCCCTAGTCTTTCATCTCAGATTACACATTGAATATCCAGAATTGTACGTCTTGTAAATATCCTTAACTTAGCATGTACAAAACTCATTATTTTCAACTCTAAATCCTTTCCCACACCTAACTTCCCTATTATGGTTGAGCTCACTACTTTCTTCCCAGTCACCTTACTGACAACCTGGGTTTCATCCTCAACTACTCGCTCACTTCCAATATGTTGCCAAAGCTTGTTTGTTTTATTTTCGTAACATCCCCCACGTGTGCCCTATCTCTGAAACTACTTGGTACATTCCTTCATTACCTCATGCCTGGACCATTCCAATCGCCTGCATTGGTTTCCTTGCTTCAAGTCTCTCTCTGCTCCAGTCCATCTTTCACTCAGCTACCAAAGTTATCTTCTTAAAGTGTGAATCTGATCGTGTCACTCCCCTATTCTGTAAACTCCTTATTTCCTCCAAGGTCAAATATAAAATCATCTATTTGACTTTTCAAACCCCTCTCCACAACTTGGCCTCTGTGTAACTTTCCAGTTAGACCTTACAATCTTACATCTTCTTATATCTTACAATCCTCCTTAGCCCCTCACTTGTGACAATGACTTCTTTGCTATTCCAAATATAAGAGATTTCATCTTCTGACTCCTGGCACTTTAACAGACTGTCCCCCATTCCTAGAATGCTCTGCCTCCTTTTTTCTACCTCTTGGCTTTCTTTGTTTCCTTCAAGTCTCTACTGAAGTCCTACCTTTGGAAAAGAAGTCTTTTCCATTCTTCCTTAATCTTAATGTCTTAGCTCTGAGATTATCTCGTTTGTCCTGTATATATCTTGTTGTTTGCATGTCATCTCTCCCATTAGGGCGCGAGTTCTTTGAGATTAGAGACTGTCTTTTGCCTTTCTTATTGTCATCAGTCATTAACATATTACCTAGCACTTAAAAATGCTGGGCAGCTAGATGGCCCAGTGGATAGAGTGCTAGACCTAGAGTCAGGAAGACTCTTCTTGATGAATTCAAATCTGGCCTGACCTTTACTGGCTGTGAGATTCTGGGCTAGTCACTTAAACCTGTTTGCCTCAGTTTCTTTATCTTTAAAATGAACTGGAGAAGAAAATGGCAAATCACTTCAGTATCTCTGCCAAGAAAACCCCAAATGGGGTCGTGGAGAATTAAACATGACTGAACACGACTGAACAACACCCATAAATGCTAGGAGAGCAGCTGACTCAGAAGGATCCATGCTATTGTGGAGTAGCCTCCTGTGGGGGAGGGGAGGAGGGCAGAGTTAAAATACTTCCGGTGTGCACTCATGTCTAGAGGTGGGGAGGGAAAGGTGCAGATTTTAGACGATTAGACAGTACTTCCCATGGACGTTTTCAGAGCCTATTCGATTCCAGGAGTTGTGGTTCCAGTTGAGGCCGGGGACATTTCCCGTACAATCTCCTTTGGGGGAATGGCCTAGATCCTGAAGCTGCTGCATGACAGCCAGCACGACTTCAAAACTGGCCTTACGTGCTGCCTTATTGTCTGCAGCTGTCTCTGCCTTAAACTGCCAACACAGATCTTGTCTCTAACATTATGTTATTCCTGGTACTTCTCAGATTGCCCTGAAGAGTCAGGGGTAGGAGGATGAGTGCTCCACTGTGAATCTGTTTCTACTCTGTCTTGTCCTTTAGTGATGGAGTGGGGGAGAGGGTGTTGCAACTTTCACGAACATTTTAATGTTAAAGATAAAAAGGCCTCAACTTAGCATTATTACTCTGCGTGTCCTGTGCATGTTTAGCAAGTAGTATCAATTCGTTTATATCTATCAAAGAAGGTTTGGCATTTGCAATTCCAAATTCCTAAGTAACAAAGACATCCTCATGTATATGTGAAAAGAGGTATGGAACTACTGAGACCAGATGTTATAGAAATAATCGCATCTGTTAAAGTTCCACTGGCTTTGCTACAGAGGGGGCAGATACAAGAGATAAGTAGAAAGAAGTGACAAGATTTGGCAACTAATTGGATATACAGAAATAGTTCAGGTGTCCTGGGTGACATACAACTTGTGAATTTGGGTGACTGTAAGAATGGTGGTACCTCTACTGAAATAGGAGAATGTGAAAGAAATAAGGTGTGGCTTGGGGTGGAGAGAGGGGGCAGAAAGAATGCTTTGAATATTTTTAGAAGTTTGTTTCATTACGTTACCTATGATCAAGTTGGTATGTTTTAGGGTTATATGTTGCTAGCACTGTATTTTTTTTTTAACCATATTGCCAGTCATTTTTATTAAATAATTCTTCCCTAGATTTGTTCGCTGTACATAAATTTATTAAACATCAGATTTTAGTATGCATTTGTTGTCATTTCTGTTATCTGTGTTCTATTCTACTGGTCTGTTTTTCGATTTTTTTTCTTTACTAGTTTTTTTGAGAATTGCTTTATGATCTAGGAGGGCAGTTTATTAATAACAGTTTAAAAATGATTTATTTCTAAAAACCCCTGTTAACTATTAAGGTGCTTTGAAACTTTACAGTTCTGTATTTTGTTTGAAACTACAAATTGACTAATGATAATAGTTAATGTAAAACCTGTTTTGTTTTTTAATCTTCCAAAGAGTAGCCCCTTAACTGAAAATTTTTGGGTGAAATTTCTTGTCAATATTTCCTACAGTGTTTTCAATTTCTGTTTTCTAGATTGAAGGACAAGGACATGGAGCTGTATTTGACTGTAAATTTTCATCAGATGGACAGCATTTTGCTTGTACAGATTCTCATGGGCATCTGCTTATATTTGGATTTGGATGCAGTAAACCTTATGAGAAGGTCATTTAAAATTTATAGACAGAATAATTTTTAATAGAGTTATAGTCATTTATGCTATAAGCTTAGATTTTCTTACATTTCAATACTCGTAAGACATTGAGTGCGTTTTTGACGCTTTATATTTTGCAGTCTGTTTCTTGGAAGATAGGCTCTTGATTTATGGAGAATGTTTTTTCATACCGATATTTGTGATTAAACTTTTTCTTATTTTTCAGGCTCTTTCTCTTCCATTATATGACAAAATGAAATCTTTGTTTTTGTAGATTCCTGATCAGATGTTCTTCCACACTGACTACCGACCACTGATTCGCGATTCAAATAATTATGTCTTAGATGAACAGACCCAACAGGCTCCTCATCTTATGCCTCCTCCATTTTTGGTGGATGTAGATGGCAATCCTCACCCAACTAAGTATCAAAGACTGGTACCAGGTCGAGAGAACTCTGCAGATGAACATTTGGTTCCGCAGCTCGGATATGTGGCAACAAGTAAGATGGAAAGGCTTTTCATTTTTAAATAAGCTTACTCTTTTCTTTCTGTCTTCCTTTCTAGCATGTACGTAGCGCTTTAAGGTTTGAAAAATGCTTTACAAATAATTACTTCATTTGATCCTCTCCACAACCCTGAGAAATAGGTGCAGTTACTGTCCTCATTTAGAGACAAGGAAACTGAAACAGCCTAGGTGATGAAGTTGGATACAGACTCAGTCAGGTCTTCCTGATTCTAGGCCCAGCACTCTATCTACTGCCCAGGATCGCAGATCCTAGACATTTATTACTGAATGTCTAAGGTAGGATTTGAACTCAGGTCTTCTTGACTCCAAATTCAGTCTTCCCTCCACTACGCCATCTAACAATCTCTCGTTTTTAGGACTGCAGTCTTTCTTTTCTACTAAATCAGGAAACATTTGGTTTTCTAAAAAATTAATCAGGTGAAGAAATAATACACATTCAGCATTAGATACCTTTTAAAGTTTAAATTTCACTTTTGCAGATAATAGTACAGTTACTCATCTATTAACTCTCTTAACAATGTTGTTTTTATGTTCAAGCATTGGCTTATGACAATTAATAGAAATGATAATCCATACTTAGGGTTTTTGCATGTCCAATTTTGAAAAAATAATTGCTGTCTTGTTTTTATATTTCATACATTTCCCAGTGAATCCTAACCTCTCTGTTATAACAAAGAATAAAAAGGGGGTAAAAAAAGAAAAACTAAGCAGTATATCCAAAATTTGACATATGCAGTGTTCTATAACCATCATCCTCCACCTTAGAAAAGAACAGTTGCCTTCTCATTTCTCTTTGGGGCTAGGCTTGGTCATTTACTTTGACAGCATTGAGTTTTGATTACTTTGTTCCTTAAATTTATATTGTCTCATTTACTAGGTTCTGCTTACATCATTCTTCATTAGTTCATGTCTTTCCCTGCTTCTGCAGGGAAAGTCATCATATTCCTCATTTTTGGTAGCACAATAATATATTCATTTTCCACATTATATCCATATACCACAACTTTTTGGGGGGAGGTGGGGCGTCATTCTCTGGTCTATGGATATCTACTTTGTTTTAAGGTATTTACTACTACAAAAAGTTGTGCCATAAATATTTTGATGTACATTGGTCCTTTTGCTTCATCACTTAGGGAGGTATGTCCCTAGCAGTGGGATCTTTGAGTCAGTTTTTTTCAGAACATTTAGACTAATTTACAAAGCTTCACCAATAGTGTTCTTGTCTTCTCACACTCCCTTTAATACTGTTCTTTTATCATGTTGTACAATTTGAGTGGTGTGAAATGAAACCCCCAAGTTATTTTATTAATTCATATTTCTGTTATGGGTGATTTGGGTCATTTTTTTTTCACTTGTTTGGGTTGAGAGTTTCAGTTTTTTTAAAGAACTTTCTTCATATCCTTTGACAAGTTATCTGTTGGAGTTTGTGTAACTTAAGGTATTTGAAACTATAGATTCTAGAGTTATTCTTTAATCTTTAAATTTTGTTAAACAAATTGTATTTTTCTGATTACATATTAACAGTTCTTTCACATTGTACCTGCAAGGTGATGGAGAGGTCATTGAACAGATAATAAGCCAACATACCAATGATCTGGATGAACAGAACCCAGAAGCCAGGGTTGTTCTTGATGGAATGATAAGACAGTTACAGCAACAGCAAGATCAGAGAATAGGAGCAAATCAAGATGTTTTTCGAAATGATCTTCCAGATGGGGAAGAAACACCAAGAAGAGGTAATAAATATAGGAAGAAATATTATTTTTAATATATGTAAAGTAAAATTGAAATGAGACAGTTTATTCACTGATAAGTTTATCCACATTGGAAAACCTTCACGTCTCGATTTGTGTAGCTGGTTGAGAAGATTTTGTGGAGTTGAATTCTCCACGTATACCCTGAAATGGATCCACCAAAGTACCTGTAGTTGACTTAAATTAAAAGAGCTAAGTAAGTGTAAAATTTTTTGACAAGTGAGCATTTTCAAAAGCATTCGAGAGATTTTGTTGGTTGATGGTAACTCTTACCTGTTTAGCAGGAGGTTTATTTCATTTCCAAATGGTTTTAAATGTTGATGGTGAGCATTGTGCAATAATTAAAATTTCTACTTCCACATTACTATTCCTCATGTGGAATGAGACATATTAATTTGGAAGAATCCTTTTAAAAGTAAACCTATAATGATAGTTATTTGTCATTTTACTCAAACAAGTTTTGCACATTTTGAAGTTTTTAAAATAGAACTTCATGACATAATTATTTTATTTATTTATTTTTTTTTTGTGAAGCAGTCAGGGTTAAGTGACTTGCCCAGGGTCATACAGCTAGTTAGTATCAAGTATCTGAGGCTGGATTTGAACTCAGGTCCTCCTGACTCCAAGGCCAGAACTCTATCCACTGCACCACCTAGCTGCCCCCAAGACATAATTTTCAATGTGGAATTTATCATATTGGAAAGTAGTAACTATGGGCAAATTGTTGAACAGCATTGACTTACTAGATTTTTTTATAAACACCAGGAGTAAATCAGGCAAGTGAAAATTTAATATCTTATTGGCTAGACCGAAGTCATAGTCTAGTTAGTTATTGGAGTAAATCCCTGTAATTTATAGAAAACTTAAGAAAGAAATTCTAGAATTAGAAAAATGCTATAAAGTCTTGATATTGCTGCAAAAGCATTTCTAGTACTTTTTTTTAGTTTTATCTGGATTTGGTATCTTCATTCATGTGGAGAGAGCCTCTTTAGAAGGAAACTCCCTTTACCAATACAGATCTGCCACAGCCTATGAGGGTCTTGGAGAATTGCTTGGTGGCATTGAGAGATTGTGACTTGCCTAGGGTCAGTATTTTTCAGACATCTCTTGAATGTAGGGTTTTTTCAATTCTGAAGCCTGCCCTCTGTCAGTACATTGCCCCTTAACTAATATGAGAGCATCCTCTTTTAATGACTTTACTTTAATTGCTTTACTAGGATAAGCATAGAATGTGATCAGATTATTAGTACATTAAACAAAGTAAGCTTAATATTTTTATCTTAATGGCCTGCCTAGGCACTAGCTTTTTTTTTCCTTTTCTTTGTGAAATGTTTTAACACACTTGACAAGATATAGAAACCACAGAGTATAGTTATAGAAAATTACTAAGCAAGACAGCACAATAGAGTGTTTATGGCACTATGCAGCTTGTCTGGTTTCATAATATTTATTTCCTTAAAAGTAAGAAAGGATTTGTGCTTTAACTTTAAGAAAGTAGTACCAATGTTGTCCTTTTCAGTTAGCCTTTCAGTGGTCTACAATATGGCCTAAATTTCTATATCTATAGATATGTATATTGTTCTTTGGATATGCCTTCTTTAGTCTCTATCACCTAAATCATCTTTCTGCCTTTTAATTATTCACAAATTTAATCAATACCATTTTATTCTAGCATTCCATAATCATTAGGCAGTTTTTTTTCTATCTTTTTGCTTTTATAGATGGACCTGCTATGACAGCAAGATCTTTGTTTTCCCCCTGTTTATAGCTTCAGGAACAAACCTAGTTGAATCAAAGGAAATGAAAAATTCTGCAATTCTTTTTGTATTACATGTTGCTTTCTAAAGTCAAAAAAGAGAAAGAGAGAGAGAGGCCACTTCATAGTTCCACCAGCAGCAGATTAGCATATTTATTTTCCCATGTTTAAGTTTTTAACATTTTTACCATCTTTGCCAATTTGATAGATGACTATAAAGTAATATCTTACTCATAGAGGTGGATCCTTTATGGAGGTTTATATGAAGACATGGACAAGAACTACAAAATATTAGAATGTGTAGGTAGATTATTACCTGTATCAGTGGAGGGAGTACTTACCTATGTCAGATCACAAATCCCTTAGAGAATTGAAATAAGTTGATGCATCAGAATTGTCCTAATTTGTATTTCTCTAATTATTCCTGATTTTGAATACTTTGAAATGACTTGTTTCTTTTTTTGAAAACTGTTTTGTTTTGGTTTTTGACCACTTTTTTTTTTTTTTTTGGCAAATGGTTCTTAATATTATAAATTTATGTCAATTCCCCATAAATGTTGGACATTGAGGTACTATACCAGAGGTGATCTATACAAATTTTTTCTGGTCTGTATCTTTTTTTCCTGCATCTTTTCTTCCTGATGTAGGTTCAAATAATTAGATCTGGCCTTTGAGGCCATATAGTCCAACTTACTTGTTTTACAGATTCATTATCATTAGCATTTATTAATCAAGCATTAACTAATTAAGCATTTAATAAGTGCTTGCTATGTGGGTAGCACTGTGCTAGGTGATGGGGTACATATACAAAGAAGGAAGAATAAAGATTTTAAGATTATGTATGTGTAGACACATGTGAATGTTTACATAGGATTTAAAGGGACTGGAGCTATTATTACTGCTTTATAAAGAACGTTGGATATAAAGAATTTGGAGAATCACAGGAAGATTTGTAAGAAGTGATGCAGCATGATGAAAGAGCCAAAACAGTAATAATTCACAACTCCTATAATAGAAGTAAAATGAATATTGATAAGCAACAAAAACTCTGGTCAAATACAGTGGTCAGTGTTAGTACCATACCATTAAAGCGTTCTTGTAGTCTCTTTGCTTTTAGTTGTAAAAGATGAACCCTTCCATTCTATAATTTTATGTGACTTTTCATATTTAGATCATTTCTTCATTTTTAATTTATTGGTGTATTTAGTTACTTCCTAAGAACCCCCTCTCCTTTACCAAAAAAAAAAAACTTTATTGTCATCTGTTGCATGACCATAACACAGTTCATTCATTGAGAAAAAAAAACATTCGTTTTACAGAAATTAGATATATAACTACCTTGGTTGAAGTGTACATCTCTTCAGTTTGGCAAAGATTACCTCATTTTGAAAAGGAAACTGTCTTTAAAATACTTATTAAAAACTTTTCTCTCTTACGTTATTGGAAACTATAATATATAGTTAAGTAGCATGTTAGGAGGACAGGTAGGTGGCACAGTGGGTAGAGCACTAGGTTTGAAGTCAGGAAGACTCATCTTCCTGAGTTCAAATCTAGCTTCAGACGCTTACTGGCTGTGTGACCCTGGGCCACTTAGTTAACCCTGTCTACCTTAGTTCCTTATTTATAAAATGAGCTGGAGAAGGAAATGACAAACCACTCCAGAATCTTTTCCAAGAAAGCCCCAAAAGGGGTCACAAAGAGTAAGAGATAACTAAACAACAACAAAGCATATTAGGAGTATTCATTGTGTTTTGATTTGTAATGAGTGCTTGCAAAATCTTTTTTCACTCAGAAAACTTTCTCCAGCTTTATTTACTTTTAATATCTACAGTATAAGTGGGCCAAAGAGTATTTAAAAGCAACAGCATATACATAAAATAGGTCATAACTAAGTTTAAATTTATTAATTAACATGATATAACTTTAGAAAAATGGTGAAGTCCCTGGAGAGCTATAAAATAACAGTTCTTCAGGGACAGAAAGGAAAGATGCAAAATTATAAGATAGGTGGCACCAGCAGATCCTTTGGGCTGATGAATGGACCTATACAATTAAATGTTGAATTTATGTATATGTAATTCTTATTTGAATGCTCATTCCGTCTCCTCCCATATTCTCCACCTGTAACTCTGGCCTGTAAGAGTTACTATGCCCTCTCATCATTTGGTGGTCAGAGTTTCTTTTGATGAGCCGCTCTATGTTTTAGGACAGATATAATCTGTCACCATGTCTTGTACTGTAAGCCTTTCTAGCTTGTGCTTTGTTGTTCTTATGTAGACTTTGAGAACCCAGAGTCTTGAAGCAACAAGGAAATATCAGAATAGAATTCTTTTTAGATGTTGATAGATAAATGAAAAGGGAGTTAATAAAGTTGGTATTATTAAATAACAGTATGTGAAGATTTTCATCTGTGATTTTTAAAAGTGTTGATTTTAACAGTAATTATGCATATTGTTTCTGGTATATATTAATCAAAAACATCCTGTAGTGAAAAAATCAAGATTGTAGCATTAGTTTGTGACTTGCCATTAAGTAGTACTGAATTTAGTGATAATGCTTATTTCCTTGAGTATTTTGGTAAATTGAGGTTTATTGTCAGATAAACACTAATTTTCCAATTTTTATTTTATATGTATACACACACTCATATGATATATATATCTGTAAAATTCAATAAATTTAGTTTTGTGATGACTTTCTATAGAAAATTTCTGTTCTTTTCATAATTATTTTACACTAAGATATAGTACTTGACCCATTTTTTTTTATCACTTAATACATTCTTCTAGGTTTTAGAAGACTAAGTTTAGATGTCCAGTCTCCTCCGAATATTGGTTTGCGTCGTAGTGGACAAGTTGAAGGCGTTCGTCAGATGCATCAGAATGCTCCACGTAGTCAGATTGCCACAGAACGTGATCTGCAAGCCTGGAAGCGAAGAGTGGTTGTTCCAGAAGTACCACTGAGTATATTTCGGTTTGTTTAACGTTTTAATTTGTTACATTGTTTTAGAGTAGGGAGTATTACATGCATATGTATACTTTTGTATTTTTAAAGAAACTTGGGTATGTATGTTCATACATTGTATGTTTTAAATCGGACAGTGTAACATAATTATCTGGTTACACCCTTGGAATGTTTACTTTTATAATTCCCCCTTAAGATTGGTGATTTTATAGCTACACCCTACAAAAGCCGTTAAATGACTATATAGACATAGATAGATAGTGTGACAATTGTTTGACTTGGAGTTAGGAAGACCTGTGTTCATACCTTCTGTGAGAACTTGAGTGACAAGTTGCTTAACCTTTTATGTGTCATGGGCAATTTTGTAGGACTTATATACCAGATGAACTGGGAATTCTTATGCCATAAATTCCACATTTTTATGAAATCATGGTACTTTTCATGGATATGTCATATAAATCAAAATTTTTATTTTGTTATTCCTTAAAAACAGGTAAGAAATTAATTTTATTTTTAAAGATATATCCAAACTGTTAAAAAGAGAGCTCTCAAGTGGATACTTTTTAAAAAATTTAGATTTGAAATTTTTTCAATACGTTTCATTATTTCAGGATACATAGAATTGTCAAAGTCATTTTGGAAAGTAAAAAATATCCATTGACTCGTAGAGTGGGTACACTTAATTGAATAGTAAGTATAGATGGTCTAGCTATTTCTTTAATCTAGCTAAACTTCAATGCAAGCAGTGTTTTGTTTACTTATTTATTTCTGTTTTCTCCTTTTTAAGTGAATGACCTCTTCATATCATTTCTTAAATTTTGCTGGTGGAATATAACTAACCCAAATAAATAATGTGGAATAATAGTATTTTATGATGACATCAGCAAGTATTGCAGGAGAGATCACAGATTCATTAAGTAGAATTTATCTTTCTTGTCCCAGATTATTTGCAGAGTTTGTTTTCTTCTATAAGGAAAAA